TCCCATTTTACAGATGGAATGACTGAGGAGGAAAAGGGAGGCGCTCACCCACAGGATCACGGGTGACCTGGCTTAGCCAGGTCCGGGAGGCGGCATTCTCTCTCAGTATACAGACTCGGGCATACTTTGCGTTATCTCCTCTCGGATGGATTGAGGCACTTCTGGGAAGACATTCAGTCTTCACTGTCAGAGACTAAGCTGGATTATATGATTTCCTCCACAAAACTGTGATAACAACCCTCTTCCATGATTTCATATTTAGAAAATCTGAAAATGTGGAGAGCGGCTACAGCGTTTGGACAGGTTCAGGCCTCATACTAATGAGAGGGCACAGTCCGCTCGTGGCAAAGCCACGTGCAGGTCCCAGCTTGGAGGGCAAAGCCCTCCCAGCACAATTATAGCCAAAGGCAAGGTTATAAGCTTGACCTTATGATCCGAACCTGTGGTCCCAGGTGGCGGAGTGATGTAGGCTGCAGGAGGTGCAGCAAGTGCTGCCAAAACAAAGCTTGATGGAGCTCTCAGGTCCATGTAACTAAGTAGATTGGAAACTCGGAGAACGTTGTAAACATCTTGACCACGCCCTGGCTTTGCCTCCTGGGATCCAACTATAAAATAAAGACTCGGCTTACAGGCTGTGGCACTGTCTCTCCATCCAAGGACAGCTATATTCTCTTGTCTGATTTCTTTAATCCTTCACCACGCCCCCCTCAGGTTCACCACTGGCCGTGCTGGACATGGTTCATGAAAATGCTAACAACTTTAAAGCAGAAACTAAAAGTCATCCATATTCCTACCTTCTAAAAAGACACTCCCATGACTATGAGTATATTTTGGTCTCTTGTCCTCTTTTTTTTTTTTTAAACTTAGAAGATTAGACTTTAAATGATGGCCTGGCTGGGAGGTTTGGGTCTCAGCACCATCCTTTTCTAGCTGTGACCTGAAGCCAGTTACTTAATCCCGAAAAGCCTCCATGTCCTCATCATGTTCTCCTGAGGATTACTAGTAAACAGGATTATTAATGTGGGACGTTCAGCACCGTGTTCGGTGCATTTTAATAACTTGCCATTGTTATCATCATAAGAAAAACAGAAAAAAATCTGGAAGCCCCACAATCATAACAACACAGAATTATTAAGTTACAAAAGTCAAAACAAATGACACTAAAGAAGAGAAATGATTGCAAATTATTCAGCCACTCAATACAAGAATTCATTCAGTTGGTCACTTTTTAACCTTAGTTTCTAAATCTATTTGACAATTAAAAAATAATTTTTAAGGAAGAGATTCTTAGAAAGCAACAACTTCAAAAAGCCAATGTATCTCCTGCCTAGAGGAAAACTCCCCTCAAGTGTTTCTATAGCGACAGAAACATGGCTGTGGATGTGGCATTATGGGACATATGTGCCCACGAGGCATTGCCAGAGGTCCCTTTCTTTGCTCTTTCTCTCTCTTTTTCAAATTCACGGGTGGGGTAGGTTCCACCAGGCTATTTTAATAGAACAAAGTCATATAATGAACTTTTTCACATAAAATGCATTTTTCCATGATTCAGTCACTGTACCTTGTTTACAAAGCTCATAAAAACGGTAGATTAAATGGGTCCCTTTCTCTAGTGTGCAAACGTCCAGACTCCTCAAAGCCAGAAGAGGAGAATGAGGGGGAGGAAGAGGGAGGAGAAGGCAATAAACGGACGGGGGAGCAGGACAGTGCAACGTGAACAGGAAAACTGTGCATGGCTGTGGAAAATCGGAGAGGGATTTTCCGGAGCGGAAGGGGCAAGCCTTGCGACCTGCCCCCCAAGCCCACCCCTGGCCAAGGTCAACTTAGATGCAGACTTGCTAAGACCATGGAAATCATGCCACACAGCAGACTCCGCTTTCAGACTGTGGAGACTGGGCCCTGGGCACCAGGATGCCCTTTCTCCGTACTTTGAGAGGCCCGATTCCTCCAAGACAGGAGCCTGCTCTTGGAGGTGCAGAGAACTTGTGCGTGCATTGGAGCTGGGTAGGCTTGAGGACAAGAGTAGATTGGGGGTTACAGATATAGGCCCAGGGGGTATGTTTCAAAACACTTCCCCAACAGGAAAAAAGAAGACGAAGGAGAAGGAAAAGTAGGAGATGAGGGAGAAGAGGAAGGAGGAGGGTGGTACGGGAAGCAAATGTAGCCACTTCTTGATAACTGTGGATAGGGATGGGCATATGGCGATGGTGATGCTTAATTTCATGTGTCAACGTGACTGGACCATGGTGCCCAGGTATTTTCCAACATTATTCTGGATGTTTCTGTGAAGGTGGTGATTTTTGTTTTTGCTATTTTGTTTTTTGGGGGGAAGTGAGATGAACATTTAAATAAGTGGACTCTGAATAAAGCAGATTGTCCTCAATAACAAGAGTGGGCCTCATCCCATCAGTTGAAGGCCATAATGAAACACAGATTGACCTCCCTTGAGCAAGAACGAATTCTGCCTGAGTCTCCAGCCTACTGGCCTCTGCCCTCAGATTTTAAACTCGCCAAGCCTCCATTATCCTGTGAGAAAATTCCTTCAAATATGTCTTTCTATCCATCTCTCTACCTATCTATATTCATCTCTAGACACACACACACACACACACACACACACACACACACCTTGTTGGCTCAGTTCCTCTGGAGAACCTTGGCTAAACAGAGCTTCACTATCTTATTTTGTTGAGTAGTGCGTGCTTGGACATTTGGAAATCAGGTGGACCTGTGGCCGAATCCTGTCCTCATCCCACCAGAGGTGTTACTCTGGGTAAATGACTGACCTTTCAGACTCTCAGGCTCCCCACCTGCAACAAGGGACCATTCTTAGTACCTATTTCATGGAGTTTGGAGAGAATTACATGAGGCGATGGGTATAATCTAATTCACATAGTTATTTATGCACTGATCCAACAAATATTTACTGTACACCATCCCTAGTATTGTAGTTATGACACTGAATACAAAAAGATGAGACGCCCTACCCTTGAACAACTTAGATTTCCCTGGAGAAGATGTAACTAAATGGGATCATGACACTCCCAAACATATGAGCACAAACTGGAATAAGGAGTTTGATGTAAAGACCATGATTCTACGAGAGTTCAGAGCAAAGAAATATGACCAGGAGCGGGGTCTTCAGGGAGGGCACCCTGGAGGCAGTGATGCTTGAGCTGCAGGGGAACGGGGGTGGGGTGGTGGGGTGGGGAGGAGAATGGGTGGTGCAAAGCCCTGAAGACAGAGGGAAGGAGCAAGAAGGCCTGGGGAGGGGGAGGGCGCATGAGGCCAGTGAGATCACAGCGGCCAGAGGCACACAGGGACCGGGCCGGACTGGGCCAGGCTGGAAGTCCTGTTAAAAAGTATGTGAGTTTAAAATCTGATGGCAGAGGCCGGGCAGGCTGGAGACTCAGGCAGAATTCCTTGCTCAGGGGAGGTCAGTCTGTGTTCGATTAAGGCCTTCAACTGATTGGATGAGGCCCACCCTTGTTATTGAGGATAGTCAACCTTATCTCTGAGCCTCAGTTTCCCCATGTGGAATGTAAGAGTACCTGACCTAAGGGCCTTGCAGGGCAGCTGTTTGGTGACAGTAAAATGTCATGGAAAGGGTTTTCTACTAACATTGTGTGTGTGTGTGTGTGTGTGTGGTCTCTACCAAGCTTCTTCAGCTGTCTTGCTGCTCGCTGAGGGCAGGGCCCTGAGCACTGAGCCTGTCTTTAGAAAGGCGCATGATCTGTAAGCAGCTGGCCCCCCAGAAAGCATGGCCAGCAGGCAGCAGCCCACAGGACCTCCATCTCATGCCACTTACTTCCCCTGGACCTCGGCCCAGTCACCTTTATCTCTGAGCCTCAGTTTCCCCATCTGGAATGCAAGAGTACCTGACCTAAGGGCCTCGCAGGGCAGCTGTTTGGTGATATCAGAGCTCATGAATGTGGAATGACTTTGAAACGTTACAAAAGCGCTGGGGGGAAAAAAGGTAAGGCGGTGTTTGCTGCGCATCTGGCTCCCACATTGTCTCAGGCATTCTGCTGTGGGAGTGCAGCCTCCGAGACGGCTGCTGAGCTGCAGGGGTAGGCCTGGGTCCCCCGCAGTAAGGAGAAGAACTTTAGATCATGAGGATAACCAGGGCGTGACACTCTACCCTCCACTGAGTCCTTTTGCAAACGGGACCCCACTTGATCTGCAGGCCACACTGGAGGCAGGCCAGAGATCGCATTCCCATTTCCCAGACAAAGAGATCCCACCCCGGGGCGGTAGTGGGGAACCCAGGCCCCAGCTCCTGTCTTGCGCAGCCAAATTGAGATCTCTGTTTTACAACAGTAAGTGTGGATCATAGAGTTTTAAACCCGGGACTATGTTAGAGATCAACAAATGGATTTTTTTTTTTTGGCCTTCAGGCACTGTGTCTTAAACGTGTGATCTTATTGCCAAGATTTAAGAATTTGGTGCTTCATTTTTTTTTTTTTAAAGAAAAGAGGTTTTTAGTTTCTCTTGAGAAATGGACAGTCTGGCCCTAAGGATCTCCATTTCTGAGAAGCGGCATTGGCTGGGCCAGGGCGGCGGCTGCCCTGCAGGAGGTGAGGCGCTCTCCCAGCTTCCCACTATCCTTTCCATGTCCCTGAGGGGACGGTTGCCGCCTGGTGCCCAAGTAAACTCGTACATGTGTGACCCTGATCTCAACCAATTTCCTCACTTAGCAACAGGGACGTTGATTCCAGAGAGGCCACGTGACCTATCAAAGGACACACAGCTTTCGGATGCGAGGCTTGGCACCGAGAGTTGGGGTGCCTTCACTCCCCGCTCAGCCCCAAGTCATCTCCTTGCTGACGCACTAGCAAGGCTCCCTCATGGCCATTTCTTTTCTGTTCTTGGCGTTCCTGACCAGAAGAGAAGGCGCAAATGTGGCAGATGGAGGGACGGGCCAATCAGGAGTAAGTGTGTAGACAGAGTTAAGGGAGAAAGGTCCACGTCACTTATGCAAAGAACCCAAGTCAATCAACAATATTTAATCCCTTTATCTCCTGAAAGGATTAACAAAGCTATCACTTGGTAGAGAACCACCAAATGACTTATTAGCCCAGGGTAACGGAAAGGAGGAAAATGGGTGTGTCTCCCGGAGGCACTACTGTGCTGTGCAGGGCCCTCCCCACCCTCCCCAGGTGGCCTGCTTGCAGAGGATCCATCTCCTGTGGGTGCTCCCATAAGCCGGTTGCCGGAGTGCCTGGGCCGTCAGGCACGTGCATCTAAATCCTGGGCTTTGTATTCAGGCAGAGCCTCCTGCTGTCTGTGAAATTGGCCACGAGCTGCTTCCCTGGCCCCACTGCAGACCCATCAGGTCCTCCTTAGGCATCCCCATCCTGGCCGAGGCCCCACAGCCTGAAGGTCCCCGGCCTCGTCTCACCCCATCCTCCAGAACAGAAAGCTCTGGGCGGGGACCCCGGAGGACTGACTTCTTTGCCAGCTGTGCCCCAACTAACCCAACGCTGGGTGTGCCCCGAGGTCTCTAGGCTCACGTGCTTGCAGAGGGGCTTAGAGGGGACCTCCTTCCAGAGCAGAAACCCTTTGGTCTGACCATTCCTTTGGCTTGACAAGGACCCACGCCCCATGCCCAGTGCCTGCAGCATCCGGCCTCCAGGCCTGCTCCCCGTGGAGACTGTGCTGCCTGGTTTTTCTCCTTCCTCGGTCTCGGGAAGTTCCTGGGGACTGAGCGAGGCTCTCCTGCCGCAGAGGGGTTGGTGTGCTGCCCGCGGAGGGAGCGTTCATCTTCATTATTTCCAAAGAGGAGCTGCTGGGGCAACAATGAGACATTTTATGAGAAAGAAGACCTTAAACTGGTTTTCATTAAGCGGGGCTTGATGGAGGCGAACCGGAAACATCCATTGGAGCAATGGCAGCCTTTCAAAGCCCCCCTGCAGAAACGATAAGCTATAAAAACAAATGGCCCGGCAACAGAACAAAAAACAAGGCTCCAGGAACATTTGCCGGCAGCAAACACAGCCGCTGGGCCCTGCCCTGCCTCTCGGACACTGAACCGTTGGGACCAGGCAGACCTAGAACGTAGCAAAGCCGGGGTGCTCCCCCACCTCAGGACAGTCGGTGGTGGGGGGCTGGACAGAAGCAGGGCCGGGTGAGTGGGGAAAGGGTCCCGGGTGGCAGCAGAATGACCAAGATCGGGACAGCTAGCGTTGGCTTGGTGCCAGGCACTGAGAGCCCTCTGCCTGTGTCCCGCCATCTCCTGACTCTCCGACAGACATGCACTATCATTGACTTTTGCAGTAGAAAGAACAGAGGCTCAGAGATGTGGAGAAGGCCCCATTATTGAATGGAAAACACAGGACTCAAACTCTCATGCCATCGGGAGTGCCACAACCACCTGTGAGCCCACCTCCTGTGAGGAAATAAGTGTGGACTTAAACTGGCACTTGGGCCTCAGGAGAGGGAGTCTCAGAAAGCATCGAGCCCAAAGTCCTCATTTCCCATGTAAGTTGGAGTGACAGAGCTGGGGGTGGGGACACTGCTCTCGGGTTTCAGAGACCTGGGCACACACAGGCCTGCCTCTCTCGCCCCTCACTGGCTGGCTGTGCTCAGCTGGTTCCGAGCCCCCACTGAGCCTCAGTTTCCTCATCTGGGAAATGGGAGGAGCCACAACACCTGGCTTGATTAGTGTCGTCGTGAGGGCTAAGTAAGATCCAGTCTAAAATGTTCATTGAGAAACGTCTGTGCCAGATGTAACAGTGAACAAATACCCGAACATCCTCACTGGGCCTGGAATCTCGTGGAGGAGACAGACAATAAATATGAGAAATAAAGAAATGATGTCCGAATGTCAGAAGACAGTATAAGCGACAGAGAAAAATGCAGCCCAGAAGGGGCGGGGGCGGGAGTGAGGAACAGCCTTACTAGTGTGATCAGGAGGGTCTCGTTGACATGTTACGGAGAGCAGAGACGGGCGGGCAGAGGTGAGGAACCGGTGCTCTGGCAGAGGAGCCAGTCTGGTCTGGAAGGAGCGGCCCTGAGACCAGAAAGCGCCCTGCTCAGCACCTGGCCCCTGAGGACCTGCTGTCTTTGTCATTCTTGTTTTCATTACATCAATTAACAAGGGAGCCCCCCACCCCATCTGAAGCTTCTCTTAGTCCAGCTTCCCTAGGGAGGTGGTGATGCTGCCTGGCTCCAGCCCACTGGGTCCCCACTTCCTGCTCTACCTTCCTGTTCTCCATTCCCTTCTGCAGTAGTTATGGGGGCTGCTGTGTGTGCTCGGAGACCCTGAGGAAGGCACTGGAGATGGGGTGAGGAGACTCTGGCCCCCTAAATGGGGTTCTCTGGCTCCCCTGCCCCATGGATTCCCCGGGAACAGGGGGCTCCCACCTCCCCAGCCCTGCTCTGAACCAGAACCCAGAACCCAGGGCTGTGCTTCTTATGAGAATGACAGGAGGTCCCTGCCTAGTGGGTCCTACCTCGGCGCCGCGGGCAGGAGTCCATCTGGCATCCGCTGTTCTTCATGGGACGCCTCCCCTTCATCCCATTCTCTGTACTGTTTTTGCTCCCCGTGACACACAGAAACTCTTTCCTGAGGGCAGCGATTTGCTGATGCTGAGTGTTCCTTGGGGAAGAAATTGCCAGTGGGAGAAAGTTGTCCTTGGCATTCCACCTACAGGATGTCCTGCTCCTCAGATGCTCAGGCCTGATGCTCCCTGTGACCCGTCCGCCTGACCCGTCATGCAGCCTGAGCCTTCACTGCTTTGCAGAAATGCAGCAGGACATCCGTGCCCACAGCATGTCCTCTGGCTCCCTGCTTCTCACCACACCCTCCTTGGCCCTCCCCAGCAGTCACCGAATAGGATCTGGAGCTTGGAGTGTGCACAGGAAGGTGCGAGATTGGAGGACAGGAGCCCCGTGGGGACGCTCTGTGGGAGTCTAGGACAGAGACGTGGCAGCGGTGACAGTGAGGATGAGAAGCAGGCACCACTTCCCGGAGACATTCTGAAGATGAAAGCAGCCAGGCTCGGTGACTGGCTAGGGGACAGAGGAGAAGTCCTTTGGAGGAAGCACTTCTATAGCCATAAAAGTGAAGCCAGTAATACAGACAAAAGCGCAATACAACGGACCAGAGAAGCAGGAGCTGTCCTATACTATGTGGCTCAAATAGAACAATGACAACCACAAAAGTATATACCTGCCGTAAAGACTAACATGGATGTCCAATCTAACATCTGGAACTAATCGCAGCCTTGGGCAAGGTAGTTAAACTTGCTGAGATATATCTCATCATTGCTTGATGGAGATAACAATGAGTCCTATCTCCTAGGGTCGTTTGAGGATGGATGGGGGCATAGCCACAGCACTAAGATGCTTTGTACATTGTTGTGTTGAGTGATGGTCATTATTGCAGTCTCCCCCCATCCCCCACGCCACTCTCCTTGCCCAGGTAAGGATCTCAGAAGTGGTTCTTTGACTTTAAAATTATGTCTTTAACAAATTCAAGGAATATCAAGCAAGGAGCCAGCATTTGGCAAACATTTTGGAATTCAGATGTACCCGAATGACTCTGCTAGTGCGAGGAAAACAACCCCTAGGGGACAGTTCGTAGAGGGGTTGGTAGGGGGTGGGGAAGTCAGGGACCTGGTAGGTGGGGAAGGACTGACCTCTTCACAGCCAGAAGCAAAGGGTGGATGTAGAATTGGGCAGGGAGAGGGGAACAAATGGCACATCCGTCACTGATAAAAGGCTGTCGTTGAGGCCCAATAAACCTAGTAGTTGGTCACCAGGCCAGATGTGTGAGTGGGAAGGTGGCCTCTTTCCCATCTGCTGAGCACTAGCCCAGCCCAAGCCAGAAAGCCCTGGAGCTCAGGAGGGGGTCTGGATCTAATGTGGAGGCTGAAACCTGGGGCTTGGAGGACCGAAAGTCCCAGGCGGATCTGGTGGTAACCAAAGGCCCACATGACTTGCTAAAGAAACCTCTTGCCTGCCTGCAGTTCCTGCTGTGTAGACAGTCTTGTGTAGACCCCCACCGCCTAGCCTTGCCCAACCATTGCTGACTGGATGAGGGTTGGCCACCTTATCACCAGGGTAGTGACCTGCAAACTGGCTTTGCAGGAACTGATGAAGTGGGCCAGTCAGGTTCTTGTCTTTGGGAATATGAATTGAGGAGAGAGGGTGGATTTGCAGTGAGAAGTAAGGCTGCAAGGTTGGCGAGGCAAGAGAGGCCAGGGCAGCCATGACGTGCAAGCTGAAGTTATGAGGCGGCAGAACAAGTGAGGGACCAGAACTGGGTCAGCAGGGACACTCAAAGAGCACAGAGACACAGCAGTAGAGAAGAGTTTCCTGCTTCCCCCACCAATTCCTGATGCTTCTCCAGGCCCTCTGGACCAGCAGCATCCTTCCCCACACTCCTCAGTCCCCATGCTTCTCCAGGCCCTCCGGGGAAGCAATGTCCTTCCCCAAACTCCCGTTTTTCTCAATTTAGCTGACGTGCCTCCTTGACTCTTCCAACCAAAATTGACCTCAGGCTGCTTCACCTACAGGCCCCACCATCCTGGTCTTCTCCAAGGGAAGGGAAGCTGGAGGGAAGCCAGCCTCCAGCCCGCCGAGGCAGGGCGACCTTGTTTATACCGCACTGGAGCGGAGTTGGGGAACACAGCAGTGACCTGGCCACTCACTCATCTTTATGAGAACGTCCCCCACATGGGAGCCTTCCCTTTTCATCAGGATGTTTTTCTTGATGTCCAGCCGAAGCATTCCCATCTTTTATTTCTTCCTATTAGTCTACGCTCTGGCCCTCGATGTTTCTGGCTGATAGGAACCCTGTCTCCCTGCAGCTCTCCCTCGGAGTTCAGATTTTTGACTGCTTACGCGTGGACAGCCCTTTGCTGTTTCTCTCCTCCCAAACAACTCCTCAGCAGCCTCTGCTGTTTGCTCAGCCTCGCTCCCCCATTCCTCCCGGAGACGGAGGTCTGATGGAGTTCAGGGACAGATGGAAGGACAGATTAGACACAGCAGGCGCAGGAAGTCAGCAAGGCAGGCCCGGAGAGGGGACCCTCTCCAGCTTGCAAAGTATAACTGGGGAGATAGACGCTTTGAGCAGATATGGGACCTAGGAGACCACCCTGTGGCCAAAGACCAGGAGGGACCCCTCTAGAGAGTATTTCCTAAGGGACAGAAGCCGAGAGTGACTGTATACGATTGAGTAGGAAGACCAGCTGCCTTTCTGGATGGAAATAGGATGCAAAAGGAAGATAAATACTGGCCACAGTGGAATCCATTAGAAGACTTGGAGAAGTCTTTGAACATTCCTTTTGGTGTCAGGCAAGAGATATCGGGTCTGCTGTTAGGCAAGGTGTAGGTCCCCTTGAAGTTGACAACAATTTGGATGAAAAAGGTGGCCCACAGCAGCTATCGGTGAGAAGGGGCAAGTGAGAAAATGATTTGGGTGCACCATCTCCCCCTCTCCCCCCCGTTCTTGGTATGTCACTGCTAGAATAAGTCCCTGGGGAAGTGGAGTTTGGTGGCATGTCATGGAGTCACTGAGTGTCATGTTTTCATGGGATGAAAGGGAGAGAGAGAGAGGGAGAGAGAGAGAGAGAGAGAGAGAGAGAGAGGAGATGAATTTGGGTCCTGATAGTACCTATAGTTAGGAGTCAGAAAACATTTGCTACAGATGCCATTCCTCTTCTCTCTCATGGTTGGTGTCACCGATACCTCCCAGCTCTCTTTTCACTGAGCCGTGGTGAATAGAGTTCACTAGGCAGCCAGGGCCAGCACATCTCTAGATGAGCACTCTTAGATGAGACATATTTGCCATCTTCGGCAATGTCCTCTCTTTGATGCAGTCTTCCACAGCCTTCAATTTAGCAGTAAAGGGGCAAAGAGAGCGGCGACCCCTGTTTAGCTATACTGAAAAGAACCAGAATTGACGTCTCCTGCAGGCTATAGGGGAGAGAAGCTGGCTTCATCATATACAAGCCCTGTGATCTTGGATAAATTAGGTTCTCTGACTCTCAATTTCCCCAACTATATATCAGATGGGCTCCAAGATATTGACTTATGCAGGATTGCTGTGAGGAATAAAGTTGGTGTTTGTCATTGCTTTTCACCGGGCCTGCAAAATGGTAGGTGCTCAGCAAAGGGTAGGTTGGCACACAAATTGAGGAAACCCTTCAAAGTCATTCAGGACTACCCTCTCGATTGCGTGTGTTTGGGACTGAGTTAATGCAAACAGCATTGACTTGGTGCATGAGCACCCTGACCTGTCTATTTTCAATGTTTGTGAAATGAATCAGGGCAAAAATTCCTGCTTGGATTATTATCTGGGATCTAATGAGAGTCTTTGTCTGGTTTTTGAGACAACCCATTCTGTGTAGACACTTAGCGGCACAATTCTTGCATTCTGTCTGTGGTATGTACTGAGAAATGTCCAATTCACATGTTGGAGAAGGCAACATAAAGATGTGAACGCTCCTCTTGATGAATCGTTAAACTGTCTTGTGAATGTTTCTTACCAGAGATAATAGATGCACAAGCCAGATAAGCACCAAGAATGGGAATGGCCATCCCTACCTTTTATTTACAATGCAAAGGCATGACCTACCCTTTAGATTCCCTTCCACGGGGCTCTTACCAGCGGGGACGCAGGGTCCAAACCCCAGCAAGCACCTGGCGTGACTCTCGTCACAGCTGTGGTTTCGCTGGGACCTGAGGGGGAGCAGGAGTCTTTTTGGCTGGCGTAAAGTCTGTAAAAGTAAGTTGTTTGTCATCCTAATTTTTAAAAGCATGGAATGTGAAGCTCTGGCCAAAAAAATTAGCAACCTTGTACATTGCATGGAGCTTGCATAACAGATGGTGGTCTGGGAGGTTGATATTTTTCAAGAGTTGATGACTTCACTGCTTGATGTCCTAAATGAAGTTGTTTTCTCTCAGATAGCACTTCAGGAATGGGGGCTTGTGATCAGGAGGGAGACCTGAGCCGAACCCAAACGCGGGCCCTAACTTATCTGAGTTTCTGAAATTCCCTCCCGAGGAAAACGTTAGATATTTCATTATGTATATATTTATTGGCTTCTGCATATCTGCACCTCTGGCTTTCTTGGTAGGGAGTGGGAGCGAGACTCTAAGAAGAGAAGCTGTTATCTGAAGGTCTCCCAGTCCCTGGGGAGCAAGGAGCAGCCAGCCCCGCCCAGGATGGGCCTAGGTGCCTCCCAGAAACAGCAGGAGCTTTGCATAAGCATTTGGTCTGTGGGGTGCTGGTCTGAACTGACCTTGCTCTTTAAAGGAACAAAGAGGATTCTTTCCCAGAGAAGAGGATTTTGACTTTAAAAGCAGCTATTCATTGGCACAGCCTTTGTGTGACTGTGGCTTTGAGTGTCACTCCCAGGAGAATAGGATAAAGAATGTTAAAGCTGGGAGGCACCTTCCAGACACTGGGCTCACCTCCCTCGTTTTACAGACGGGAAATCTAAGCCCTCAGATAAGAAGGCACGTCCTTCGCTCAAACTGCACGTCTGAGGCCATGCTTTCCTTAACTCATATATTTTCGTCTCCCGAGTGGCTACCTCTTCCCCCAAGTCCCCAGCCTCCTCAGTGTTCATATTTTGTAGCAAGGATAAGCCTTAAATGGCACCAACCTACTCCTAGCTCTGTCTGGAGTATTCCTACCACAGGGAGCTAGCATCTGCCAGAGCAGCAGAGAAAAGTGTGCAGTGATTCACATGAGTGCTCACAGGGCCCCTTCTTTGATGAGTGGCACCCTGTCTCCCAGGTGCACATCACCCCAAGTGCATCCCGATTTCTCACTTATGAAGTGCAATCTTTTAAAGATGCAGCAGAAAGGCACACTGACTTATCCTGATCATGGACTTGAAGGCCATCCAGCCTGTGTCTTTTTTTAAAATATATTTTATTGATTTTTTACAGAGAGGAAGGGAGAGGAATAGAGAGTTAGAAACATCAATGAGAGAGAAAGATTGATCAGCTGCCTCCTGCACACCCTGTACTTGGGATGTGCCCGCAACCAAGGTACATGCCCTTGATCGGAATCTCACCTGGGACCCTTCAGTCTGCAGGCTGATGCTCTATCCACTGAGCCAAACCAGTTACGGCAG